GCTGTGGAGATAGCTGACCTACTATGTGCATATAGCTGTGTACGCAGTCAGTCTCTCTTGTCCTTGGGTCTTAGTTCCTTCTGGGCATTGTGAGTGACTTTCATTCCTGGGGCCTCAGCACTCTGCCCAGGGTCTTACTTATTCTGTGCCCCCATGAGAATTTGTTGACTCAAATGACTGTATAATAAGAAAATCCAAGATCTAGCGAATTTGATTTTGAGTTGCTTTCCTCTCTTGGCTCACCTTCTGGGTCAGACATCAACAGGATATCCACTAATTGCAGGTACAGAAAAGGGCAGTGGCCTCACCTGCAGTAGTTTTCAACCCACACACGGTGGTACCCGGGTGTGCTGTGAAAATCTTTAAAGATAATTATTTTCTAAAGAAGTTCAAAGCACAGCAAATGTATTCTTTTTTGACTTTTTTTGGGATCAACATAATTTAAATGTGCCGTGGAAGTTTAACTGTAGGTTCAAGTGTGGCGTGAGATTAAAAAAAGTTGAAAAACACTGCTTTAGAGAGAGGGAATCACTTAACGTCCCTGCTAGAATTTCAAACACAAAATTTCATTGACTCTCTTTCTCAGTCTGGGTTTTGTGACAGGACCTTACAGATCTTGTTAACTTAGGATACTAGAGTTCTTGCCTTTCTGTCCACTCAGGAGCTATAGATAGGGCAGTGGGTGAACCCTAGGATAACTGTGGTCTCCAAGCTTACTAATTCCAAACAGGATAATCCCTTTTAGTCTCTTGAGGGTATGTACAGGTGTAATTGAAGTGGCGGGTTGTTTTAAAAAGCATGAATCTATTGTTACCCTCTGTTTAAACCTTTCCATGGCTTGCCATCTTTACAGGTAAATGTCGAACTCCAAAGCATGGCAGATGAAGCTATCTGTGGGCTGGCTCTTGTCTGCTTCTCCAGGTTCACCTGCTACCACTGTTTCCAGGTGCAGTTGGTGTAACCCGCCATGCTGTCAGTATGTGAAGGACCAAGACTGCACTCCTTGTGCTGTTCTGCTGGGCAGACCCAACACCTTCAAGAGTGAGGTCAGTGCCAAGCTCTCTGTGAGATCTTCTCTGGATGCCCCGGTCTATAAACAGCAGCCATCACACGGCATTCTTTCTGGTTAGTGTGTCTTCCCCACTAGATTTCTTTTTTTTTTTTTTTTGAGACAGAGCCTCAAGCTGTCCCCCTGGGTAGAGTGCCGTGGCATTACAGCTCACAGCAACCTCCAACTCCTGGGCTCAAGCGAGTCTCCTGCCTCCGCCTCCCAAGTAGCTGGGACCACAGGCGCCCGCCACAACGCCCGGCTATTTTTTGGTTGCAGCCGTCGTTGTTTGGCGGGTCCGGGCTGGGGATTCGAACCCGCCACCTTAGGTGTACGTGGCTGACGCCTTAGCCGGTTGAGCTATAGGCGCCGAGCCCCCCACTAGATTTCTTAAGCTGAGGTTAACCTCTGAATTTTCAGCATCTAGCAAATAGGTTTTTGTGGAATAAATAATGGTCGCAAGTAAATCAGGGGAAATTTATACCGGTTAGTGTTCTGTCAAAACTGTTTCAAGCACTTATTATGTGCCAGACAGGCATCAAGCTAGAGTGGTTGAACACAGGGAAATGTCTAGTCAGTTTTGCAGCCCCAAACTTGGTCTATTCCTTCCTCCCCTTTCATTGTATTTGCTTGTTTTGTGCTTTTAAATCTGAATTTAGCCATTTTATAAGATGATCTTAGGTAAAGAGAGCCTACGAGTGTGACAGAGTGTCTCCCTGCTTGCTAGGAAAAAGTCACTAGGGCCTCAGGAACCTGATCCAGAGAGGGATTCTCACTGCTCACTCCTAGGGCTGTCTGCACTTTGCGTCTCTACACGCTATTTTGCTTCTTCCAAGTAGATGAGACACACTGAAAAACCCTCTAATCCACCATTGAGGGGGGAAGAGAAACCCGTCTGAAATGTGAAAGGCCCCTTGACAGCAGGAGCACTTTCAGATGAGATGTCGACCGTGGCCGGGGCGTGTGTGTTTGTGCTTCCCCTACTCTTCCAGCTATGGAAACCCATCACAGAGTTTATTGGCTTCCATAATGGTGAACCAGTTTCTCTAAGTCATTCCCTATGGAGAGGGTCTCTGATCTCTGGCAACAGATAAGGAAAGACTGTAATTGTGAAGTCCTAATTTTGAAGGTAGCAGAGTGTACAGGGTCAGCACCAACTCATGCATAACTCAGCGGGGTCTCTACCCCCATGCTCAGCTGACTCGGGGTGAACACAGAACTCAGCATTTCCCCAGGGCCTGTGCCCACTCCTCTGGAGGGCTAGTGAAGCAGCCTCAGTGGAGTGTCAGGAGGACAGCTGCTGATCTCGAGGTAAGGGGGGAATGCAAGCCAAAGGCTTTGTTGCCAGATGACTGTTCTGATTACTGCACAGGCTGAATACAACAAATCTCTCTGTGATTGTGCTCTTTACCTTTTTTCCCTTCATAAAACCGTTAAACAAATATATATATATGAAAGTGTCTTTTAAGAAAGTGTGTCTGAAACATATATGTAATCATTCTTCTACTTTTTCTTTTTTGAGACAGAGTCTCAAGCTGTTGCCCTGGGTAGAGTGCTGTGGTGTCACAGCTCACAGCAACCTCCAACTCCTGGGCTTAAGCCACTCTCTTGCCTCAGCCTCCCAAGTAGCTGGGACTACAGGTGCCCACCACAATGCCTGGCTATTTTTTTCTTTTTTGGTTGTAGTTGTCATTGTTGTTTGGCAGGCCCAGGCTGGATTTGAACCTGCCAGCTCCGGTGTATGCGGCTGGCGCTCTACCCACTGAGCTACAGGCACCAAGCTATCCTTCCACTTCTTGATAAGATGACATGGCAAGCCAGTGATCCTGACGCAATTAGAAAAAAACGGGAAACATACTTTAAAAGGCCTTGGAGAGGTGTGGAAACAGTAAGGATGAATGAGCTAAAATTCCAGAGGGAAAAGAGCTCAGTCTAGGCTGTTTTCTGCCCTGGGGTGTTTGCTAACTCTGGATCACGACTGAGACACGGATTTGGCACAGACAGAGGCACTCTGGGAAAGGAAGGAGAAAGCAGGTGCGTTTCTGGTGGTCACATGGGGTTGCTGTGACAGCCTGAAAACTTGAGGGTCTGAACAGAGGAACTCAAACAGGTGGCCAGTGTCTCCTCAAAAGTACCGATCCCTGGGGGCAGTCTGGGATTCTGGGCTCCACAGTGCTAAGAATCAGCCAAGGGTAGTTTTGTCTACTGAGAACCCACATCAGATTTATTGAACTGGGTTTGTCCCTATATAAGGGATTGCTGACAGTAGGTTTGTGATTGCAGTGGCTCCTCGGAATGGTATTTGTCCTCAGGGAAGAACATCGGCTATAAAGGCTTTGGCTGTGACTGTGAATAGTAAAATAACACCAGTGTTTCAGGTTTCTATGAAGGTAAAGGATCTGTAGTATAGTCCGCGGCCAATACGAATGAACATGCAGATAAAAAATATATAGACGCTCCATTGGCATGGAGGTAAGGAATGATTCAGCCGTGATTTACATCTCAGCAGATATGGGTTACGGAGGAGAATGTGGTAGTTGTGTCTGACGTGTAGTGTATAGGTAGGAACAGTCCTGTGATGATTTAGATGATAAGACCTAGACCTAATAGGGAGCCAAAGTTCCATCATGATGAAATGTTTGATGGTGTGGGCAGGTCAATGAATCAGCGATTAATCATTTTTGCTAGGGGGTGGCGTTTTTGAATGTTGGTCATTAGGTTTTTTTGGTTTTTTTTTTTTGCAGTTTTTGGCCGGGGTTGGGTTTGAACCCACCACCTCTGGCATATGGGGCTGGTGCCCTACTCCTTTGAGCCACAGGCGCCACCCCCGGTCATTAGGTTTTTATAGCTGAATCACAATAGTGATTTTTCATGTCATGAGCCATGGTGTGATTCCATGTGAGAATAAGGATGTATATAGCATTTTTATTAAGTGTACTTTATGAATTTTAAAATCATAAAACAACTATTAGTGCTAGACTAACATTAATTATTTGGCTTCATGTTGGGCAAACACTCAAGAGACCTAATGGCTTCCCTTTAGCGAAAAAAAAACAACCATAAGAATACTCATTTCCATCCAAATGCCTGGCTTGCTCTGTCCTCTATTTCAGTGTCTTCCTTGCCACTGTGCTGCCTCCCAGCATGTCCCCGTGTTTTTGCCAGTTAGCCGTCAATGCAGATGGGTTGAAACAAAGAAGTGGCACCATTGTCATTTCTCCAGTCTAACCCGTCCCCTTGCCTCCATCTTTCTTTCCACAATTACAGGAGGTGGAAGTAGGTGACAGGATGATGTTAGGGAGATAGGAGGTGCTAAGGAGAGCCAAGGACTTAATAAAACAAGGAGTCAAGAGGGACAGGGACAGTACCGGGGTACTCTGGGGTTGTTTTTACCCACTTCAATAGAAATGAAACAAGGTCTTTCACTCAATCCCTGCTGGTACAAGACCACACATACTCAAGAGACAGGAAGGAAATGCATTCAGATGAAAAATGTTGATGACACTTCTCTAGGAATGTGGTGGCTTAGGCAAAATGAAGAGGATTGGCACAATCTGTGCCCTAGTTTTACCTAGGGTGGCCTTTTCTTCTAAAAGCACAGATAATCACGGTTGGTTACAAAAGCCTACATTTTGTGAACTAAAGGTACCCAAAGGCTCATTCCCATTTCAAGATATATTCCTTGGTGGCATAGATAAGGATGCATCTCTACTGTTTTTGCATTCCAGGGCACTAGGAAATGCCATAAAAATAATTTTGCTTTCAATAAGTCAATGGACTTTCATTTAATCAGATTTATATTCTAGAAAACAGAAAAATAAAAAGAAAATTTGGGGCTACACTTGAACTGGGATGCAAGACAAAAGGTGAATAATCCATTTTTTTTCTTTTTTTTGAGGAAAACTGCTGAGAGAAATAAACGCAGTTATACTGTTAGCAATTTGCTTCTTACCCAAAACATAAATCTCACTGTTGACTACGGCTGCGCTGAACCGGTACTTAGAGTACTTCATGGGTGCCCGCTCCCGCCACTGATCTTGGCTGGGGTCGTACTGCAATAGTTTGTTGCTCAGTCGATCAGGTTCTTCATCAGGCAGGTCCATCTACATGAAATATGACAGCCCATGTAACGACCTGCCACTCAGAGACCTTCGCAAGTGTATGAATTCAATTAATCAGAACAGACAGCCAAGGAGATGAATAGAGGTTAACTGCAGCGACTCACAAACACACCAAACCCAAGTACACTGTCATTATCAGAGGAATTTATATTACAAAACAATGAGGCTAAGATGTACAGTTATAGCAAATAATCTGTGACCTTAACTGTGAGATGTTACATCTTAAAAAAAAAAAAAAAGAATCAACCACAGAGCCTTAAAAATGAAACCAGGCTTTCTTGAACAGTATTTAAAGTAAAATTCCATTTTACCAAGCTTTACGGTTGTGAATTTTAATGATATTTGTGAGAAACTAATTTTAATAATTTATAAGCCATTTTCTTTTCATTTTTCTAATCCACGTGGAACGTAGTTGCAGAGACATTGTAGTGTTTTAATAATTAGTGTTTTTGTACACCATAATCATGACCTATATAGCAGTGGCCTGGATTCAGTTTTTTAAAATGTATGGATTAATATAAATGATTTGCAGTTTTATATATTGATAATTAGAGTTACTCAATTTGTACCTTCCGTAGTACAAATGTATTCTTACACAAATGTAAGTGGCTTCTCCTATGCAAAAACTTCAGGAGAAATACATATATGTATGTATGTGTATATATATATATTTACATATAGTTTAGATAGAGTCTCACTCTGTTGCGGTGGGTAGAGCACTGTGGTGTCTTAGCTCATAACAACCTCAAACTCTCGGGTCTGAATGATCCTCTTGCCTCAGCTTCCCAAGTAGTTGGGACTATGGGTGCAGCTATAGGGCCCAGCTAATTTTTCTATTTTTTTTTTTATAGAGACAGAGTCTCACTTTATCAACCTTGGTAGAGTGCCATGGCATCACACAGCTCACAGCAACCTCCAACTCCTGGGCTTAGGCTAAGTTTTCTATTTTTAGTAGAGACAGGTTCTTGCTCTTGCTCAGGCTGGTCTTGAACTCCTGAGCTCAAGGGATCTCCTGCCGCTGCCTCCCAGAGGGTTGGGATTATGGGTGTTAGCCACTGCGGCTGCCAGGAGGAAATAATGTTTTTTTGTATACAAGTATCTGGAACTTACACCATGCCCAGCTAGGATTCATAGGTGTCTTTCTGTTTGGATGCAAGTGTTCAACAAAGAAATAATTGCCTTACTTATGAAGGTTGTGTGCAATTCATTTTAGTTCATTGCTTTAAATACACCCAGAGTTACGCTCACCGTGGTACACATGCACCCCGGGGACCTCTCAGCAAAGTGTATTAATTAGGCACTCAGTCAGGTTAGCAAAAGCCTTTGTTATACAGTAAAAGTTTCAAGATTTTATAAATTAACAAATGTTGGCTTTATGGCTTTAATTTTTCTTCTAATTTAGTCGTTAATCTCTAGGCAGGAGACGCTTCTAAATTGTCTTTGGAGCTTGTTTATGCAAAATTAACTATGTAAATGGATAGTTTTGAAAAAAGTCTAATTACAAGTAATTTGTCAGGTTTCTGCTACTAGCTGTGATGAACTCTGTACTACTTTTCTCTACATGGCATGAAATAAAATGTGTTAAATGTGAAGCTTAAGTCTTTTTTTTTTTTTTTTGAGACAGAGCCTCAAGCTATCCCTTTGCGTAGAGTGCTGTGGCATCACAGCTCACAGCAACCTCCAACTCCTGGGCTCAAGCCAATCTCCTGCCTCAGCCTCCCAGGTAGCTGGGACTACAGGCACCGCCACAATGCCTGGCTATTTTTTTGGTTGCAGCTGTCATTGTTGTTTGGCGGGCCCAGGCTGGATTCGAACCCGCCACCTTAGGTGCATGTGGCTGGCGCCTTAGCCACTTGAGCCACAGGCGCCGAGCTGAAGCTTAAGTCTTTAAAATAGGTGTGATATACTATAAAGGACAAAATCCAAATTTAAAGACTGAATGCAAATACTATTAGTTTTATCAGTAAGCAAATCAACAGAATCAAGAATACAGGCAAAAATAATTTACTTCATGTCATGGGGCAGGCCAATGAGCTAGTGAGATTAATTTGTATTAGAAAGACTGGCTGTCCAGTCCATAGGCACCAGGAAAGGCTACCCAGGGCGGAGGGAGAGGGCTGCTGCGGCCACACCCCCTGACTCTCCAGTTCATTTCATTCCAGTTCATTGCCATTACTGTATTGGGCTTCGACAGAAACAGTGCCCCGGTTTTCTACTTGCTGATATCCTGCGAACACAGTGTTTATAATCACACGACACTTTTATGGAGAAGACTGTGCCATTACAGGACTGGTATTCTCGTTTCCAATGTAAGAGTAAGAATTTTAAATAAGGAAAAGGGCTCAGAGTCACTTGCCTCAGGCCACACGAATATTAAACAGAATGGGGATGAGGATTCAGCTTCTTTGCCCCTTACCTAGACACTCCCTACAGATAATCCTTCAGTACAAATATTTCTTATAATTAGCAAGAATGGGAGGATTATGAAGGACATAGCATGAATACCAAATAAACTCATGTCTACGAATAACACACTTTAAAATTCTCCTACATTGGTTTAATACTTTAAAACCTTAAGATTATATTCTCTAAAGTAGAAAGCATTTTGCCAAAAGGTTAAGTCATACTCTTTTAGTATTTGACGGCTATAGCATGATTCAACATAGCAGCCAGGCTCAGCACAGCCATGCCAGTGAGGTGTACAGGAAAGTTCTTAACCTGAGGGGTCCAGCCTCCAAGCACATAAAGTTTCTTATTCACGGTTACTACAGCATGACATGCCAGTTGTACCGGAAGGGGAGACACCCTTTTCCAACTGTCTCGTTCCACAGAGTACTTATCAACACAGTTGGTAATGAGATACTGGTTTTTAATTTTCATCTGACCCCCTATAACATAGAGGTCATTGTGGACACTACCCAGAGCATATAGCTCTCGAAATTCAGTTGTGCATAGCTTTTCCCAAAACTGGTTTCCTCTGTCATGATACCTGTAAATTAACAGAGAGAGAATCCAGGGTTAGTGTTACCCAAGAAATTGTTTCTAACTAAGCTTCTTTTCCAGCTAAAAACAATGAGACATGGTTCTTCTAACTGGAGGAGAAAAAAAGCATTGACACAAGATGAACAAAATACAATGTGCTTAAAAATTATCAGCCATACATATCGGAAGAATCAAAGGCTAGCCTTCACTTCCTAGTTCTGGGACAGAAAAATCAAGATCAAGTAGGAAATTCTCTCAGCAAATCGTTCGTGATTTTACTATAAAAGAAGAATAGGAAACAAAAATGTCTTATTTTGTGGACAAGAAACATCACTTTAATACTACATTAAAGGAGTCACAGTTTTAGGGCAGAGAAACTAAAAATATTTTAATTCATAAATTTCTAGTAGAATGATATAAAGTATTATTAAGGATTGTTATATTTTGTAGCTGCAAAATAACTTTGATGCCATTAATTTGTGCTTGAAAGAACTCTATCCAGTCCATATGAAGGGACGTTCCTTTGAAGACCCTCCCAAATGACTAGAAGGTTAGTCGTGCGAAATGAAGGCTCTGAAGGCAGAGCCTGATTAAGATCTGGAATTTCCTGGAAGGGGCCTGGGGAGTGGAAATCAAGATAAGTTAATGTGCAGCTAGGTTAAAGGCTGCATCTGTTTTTTACAAGATGAACAGTCTGGTTTTTGCACCTGAGTAGGTTAAAGGTTTTATGGTATTTTTGTATTATTATCTTAGAAAACCATCTGACGCCAGGTGGTTTATGATTAGTGTGTGTACGTGCAGAATTGAGAATTGTAAAAGTATATAAACTTGGAAGGAATAAACTGAGGTGGCTACTTGCCTGAGCGAGTGGTTGCCACCCTACTCTTCAAAGACATTCTGACTGCTACTGTCATCTCTGCGACTCTGGCCTGATCATTTACAGCAACAATATTTCTTAATGTCTTAAACTTGGGTCAAGACAACTGTATAAAAATCCACTTGGGCATTTAATATCTATTTTAATCTACTAGATATGGTGATTTCAGTAATTTCCTCCAGAACATCCATCTGAGAAGAGCCTTGGGAGGTAGGGACCCTAGGATCTATGGTCTGTCAATGCCTTCTCGAGGCCAATACATTCACTGATTACGTGTGCAGTGGGGATGGGGCCTTACACAGTCACGGAGTATATGAGTTTGTGGCCGCCCTTGGTCTTGCCACAGGATAATGTTAAGTCTTATTTTCTCCAGTAATGACTGGGGTGGCAGAGTCTGAGGAGCACAAGAGTCTTTATGGGGACAATGGGATACAATAGGTGAAATTGGATGCCCCAGAAATCCAGAAAGAATACCGGGGGTTCCAATTTAAAACAAAACACCAAACCCAGGAAAACATGGAAATTTTTTTAGAAGTTTTAAATTTTGGAAATTTTTTTTAGAAGTTGTTCTGTTTGGAAACAAATGAGGACATGATGTTATGTATGTGTCGTCGTTGTGTGAGTATGATTGTAAAGTGCAGGCTACTTACTTTGCATCAGACGTCTGATAGTTAATTGTGGTCTGTGGGGACGAGGTGTCTGCATGTGGGGCTGCTGCAGTAACGGCACACAATGGATGTATAAACAGAACTAAGAAAGGATTTGCGTTTTCTGAGACATAGTTTAAGAAAATAAGCTAGCTATCAAGAGAAGAGAAGAATAATAAAAATAAGAAAAAAAAGAAAAGAAGCTAGGAATGAAGGTTGGGAAGCACACGTTTGCTAGGTGACTTGCTAATTTGGTTTTTGTTTCAACATTTAGAACTGAAAATGGGGTGAGAAAATGCCAAGGTAAAACTATAAAACTTGCTGTTAAGAAGAGTGGATATGACATCAAAAAGAACATGGTGATAAAGGCCTTCAATGTTAATAGAAGTTGATCTAATTAATTAAATCAACTGATTAATTAATTAGAGACAGGGTCTTGCTCTGCTGCCCAGGCTGGAGTGCCATGGTGTCATCATAGCTCACAGCAACCTCGAACTCCTGGGCTTAAACGATCTTCCTCTCTCAGCCTCCCGAGTAGCTGGGACTACAGATGTGTGCCACCATGCCAGCCTAGGCCAACAGTTTAGAGATAACACTTGTCAGCTCAGCTGTTCATATACAGGAACAGGACAGGAGATAGAAAGGTCTATCTATTTGGCAAGGAGCAGCCTATAGTAGCACTGGTCTAATTTCTCTTTTAGATCAAGAAGAAATATATCTACGTGGAAATCTATAAGCTATAGAGTAGAGGCAAACTGAAGAGGAGCCACAGTGAAAAGAAATAAGATAGAGGAATAGTACAGTAGGATGTGCCGTGGGATGACATTTCTCACGTATGTCACAAAGCCAGCACCGAAGTGACCAGTGCTAGCCGAGTTTAACCGTTTACAACACCCATGGGAAGTCTCATTTAAGCCCAGAACAATGCTTCTGAAAATGTCATTATTTGCCTTCCTGACAACTTCGTTACTGGAGGAAATGATGGGGTAACTGATAACTTTTACTCTAGTTCTGAGCAATGCAGAGAGGCTGTTTGGAGATGGGAACCCGGTTGAGTTCAAGGTGGAAAGGAAGAAAACCACGGGGTATACAGTTAGATATCTGCTGTAAGAAAGGGAAGTGGGCTTGGGAAAAAAGAGGAACGATGTTTGAGGATCAAGGACATTTTGACAGGGATGGAAGTTTACTAAGAATAAGTTCTGCAGGTAGATTCGCGGTCCATCTTGATGAGGAAGGAAAGGAGCTCTCTGAGTCACCACCTGTAAAAGAGGCTCTAAGATGGAGAGAAGGCACTTAGCCAAGAGCGAGCATAAAGCAAACGGCACGGACCAGAACCTACGAGAACCAGCCAGGAGAGCCAAAGCCCCTCTCCCTACAAGGAGCTGCCCGCTGGCTCTGTGGTCTGTGCCTGATATTTCTGAAGAGGCTGCTCCTGCAGCCAGTGCTATGCTGGGCCCCCATGGGCACAGGTCCGGGCTACTCACTCTGCGTTCTTTCCTCTATTACTAGACGGGGAGATTAGACTTGTCTTCAAAGCACATGTGCATGTGAAAAGGGACAGGCCTATAGCTTGAAACAGCGTAATGCTAGGACGTGGCACAACATTAGTAGGCCTCTTAACTCTTTCTTGGCCCCATCTTTGCCATAAAGAATTACCTTCTCCACAGGCATGGTCCCGCCTTTTACCCTCCCTCTGTCAAACCTCCTCCCTCCCCCCCTTCCCACTCCATTTCTCTCCTTCATCCTGGGCTATGGTTGTGTTCTATCTTTCATAAGAAAGCATATGACAAGGGTACAAGTCAAATCTGTGAAGTGTAGGACATAGATGTTTTGGGGTGAAAGTTGCTGATTGTTTTAATGTAACCACGTCAGATTGTATAAAAAAAATCAGCACATTGCACCCCACATATGCATGAGTGTATTCATGACCTATGAATCTTGATCTATGAATTCATGATCTGACTTAATTTTTAAAAAAGAATTACCTTCTAACTGAAAAGTCTGAACAAACTCAAGTAAGAGGGAACTGAGGGGAAGGAGGTTGAGGGAAAGTTTTACTATTGAGTACACATTCTATCTGCATGTTTCCTATTTATTCAGATCTAAAAGTATTAAATACTCACTGAATACTGGCTGAATAAGCAGTAAAGAAAGGCAGGTGTTCTCACAAACAACACCTGGATGACCTGCTATGTCTCAGCAGCCATCCTTTCCTCCTACAACAGTTCTAGGATTGAAGCACGCTTATGTACAAACATTTTACAATATTGGAGGTGTGGGTAAGATCTACAAATCAAGGACAGAGAATGAAAACGGACAGGTAATCAGTAATTTTTGGTTAAGAAAAAAATGTATAAACTATAAAAATGAATTCAAAGGGATCTGGGCTAGTCAACTTTCCTCTTGTTACCAGCTATGTCAAGGTTTTTAAAAACAGAGCCATAGACCATGCCCTCCTATATGGATAAATAAGGCTAAGAGGGGAAATACCATGGGATCAAAACAGACACCTGTACCCTGTGCAAATGCAACTGTATGTTCCTAATAATTAAAGGAAGAGAAAAAATAATTTCAAAATATAGGGTGATTTCATTATGAACGTTATTTATATGCTATATTTATATTTAAGCTTTATATGTATATCCATGCATACACACACCAACCAGAGCATGTCTGCCAACTATTTCTTTTTTTGGCCAGGGCTGGGTTTGAACCCACCACCTCTGGCATATGGGGCCAGCACCCTAGTCCGTGAGCCACAGGCGCTGCCCTCTGCCAACTATTTCTTCTGAGAAACTTACAGGTTAATTTTGACTGCAAGTCAAATTTAAGAAGTGACCACTTTGTCAGTAGTACTTTCTTCTTGTGTTGCTAATATCAAAGCAAGTCAATTAAATGAATCTGCTGCTAGATACGAACCTGTAGATTTCAACGTTCCTGTTCTTCTGTCTAGAGAGCTTAGAGGCACTTGCTTCTCCGGCCACAATTATCGTGTTATTTTCCATGACGACACCGGTACACACAGTTCCTAAGCCCTCACCATACTTGGGAGAGGAGATGTAATAGGTCTTCTGTGACACAGGATCATAGCAAAAACTGGCATCTCCATAGTTCCTCCGTCTTGATCGGATTCCTGAAGAGTTGTTACCGACACAGAGCAGAAGACTGGTGGTCTCCATGCCGTAGCGGAGATTTGGAGAGTGCTGCTGGGGCGCCTTGATGGCTTTGAATGCGTTTTGAATGATGTCGATGCAGCCCGCGTCACACAGAAGCATTGTGTTCCTTTTTAGGGCCTGTCTTAAAAAAGCAGGATTTATAAGTTCCAATCTCACTTGCTTCAACAGCTCAACAAGATGCTCTGTGCGCAATTCTTGGTTATGATTCACCCACCTCAGAACTAAGTCCAGGATGCTCTCTTCTCGGGATATGTTAAGATCATCTGATTTAATAAGCGTCAGAAACTGGTGCACTTCAATTTCTAGTATTTCCTCGTGCAGGCTCACCTCGGCAAAGTGCTGATACAAGTATTTCTTCGATTGATCAGATAGATCTTCAGCTCCAATCTGCTTTGCAAAATAATAGATACCTACACAGTTGGAGGCATCCATGTGGTCCATCATGTATTTCTGACATATGGTAAAGACTTCTTCCATCTGCATAAAATAAGCCGCCATCGCCACTGTCTGCACATTCGCGTTATTGATCTCCAAGGCTGCGCTGTACATGTAATTCAGGATCACCGACACACTTTCTGCTGTGATGTCATGGAGTATGACTTCCCTCTGAGAGCATTCGAGGAGTCCGCAGGTGAACATGGCTTTGAAGTAAGGACTAAACGCAGCCAGGACCAGTCGGTGACAAGGAAATTTTTCTTCTTCTGCTATGAGTACCACATCAACCATTTCTGCTAATTCTTTCATGTTCTTAATTTTATCCAGTAAATCCAAGCTGTGTTGGCATTTTTCTTTTCCCTGTATCTTGCACTCCATGATACAGTCTGCAGAGTCTCTAAGTAAACCTTCTGAAGTTTAGGGGTCCCCGGGGGGCTGTCTTCCCTCCTGATTACTCACAAAGCGGCAGAGAAGCAGGAAACATTCCTGAGGACAGAAAAGCAGAAGATTTCTTTGAAGAACAGATTCTCTAGAATTTAGGTGTGCGGCATTACTTCTCAGAATAATTTATAAATAACTATTCTTCACTCCAAACAGAGCAGCTTAAGACAGCTACTTTTGTACCTAAAAAGAATGTCTTTGATTATGTAAATAATAAATTATTAGCCGCTGACGCAGTGTTTTCTAATCGGCAGCAGAAATTTACCTAGGACTGGAAGAGCTTCCCTCCCAACGTGAACAAAGAGAGAAATGCTAAGATGGGCACATTCTGCAACCCCATTTCCAGTTACCAAGTACAGTCGACCTGCAGGCAGAGGGTACGGGGCAGCCACTAATGTTCCCTCTGAGGAGATGCAAAACCACCCAAAGGGTTATATGTGTCCCCTCCACAAAGTGCACCCAAACGTTACAGTAGCCAATCCACAAAATCACAACTGGACCGAGCAGGATAACCCCCAAAGTGGGCAGACTGAAAGTTAAGTCCACTAACATTCGGCTCAAACTGTGACAGGGGCCAGTAACTCCAAACAGCAGATAATAACAAAGATTATTTCTACTGGGCTTTGGAAAGCACTACCGAATGTCTGCTTATCAAATCACAATATTTGAACACAGAACTAATCAAACTAAACTTAGAAAATGCATAGAAGACGTCAGGCTTTCCTACCTTCCCGCCTCACTCAGTTCTTTGGGCCCTGTTTCTTGTGGTAGGGACGGACTCAATTCTAGCCTTAAAAAAGCACTAATCGAAATTTCTGCGATGTAGCCGTCCCATCTTCACCTCTGCAGGGTGAGGGTGTCTCAAGGAAGTTAGTTAGCTGTTTTGATTTAAAGAAGAACGTTCCTGGAGTCAGAACCTTAGCGTGAGGAGGGGACCTCAAGTCTCTGCCTCCTTTTCTAATTCTCCCTCGGAAGCCAGAAGAGCAAGTACCGGGAGCTCAGAAAGAAGCATAGGTGATACGGTCAACGGCATTAACACAGAATTTGTCAGCTATAAAGGCTGGAAATCTTCTACATTTCTGTAACCCTGTTTAAGGGAGTAGACTCCTACATGTCTCAATGAGAAACGGCATTTTTTTCAGGGTGTTGAATTAAAGTTCATCTCAGGAAACAAGGGTTTTGCACGATAGGAATGTTTAATTATAATGACAACTATGAGACTTAAGAAACACTACACTGGCTC